AAGAAGGAAGAAGTGACACCCTAGTCAAATCGTTTACAACCATACAAATTACGCCCAATCACCATATTTTACTGTTGAGTTTGGTAATATCTCAGAAATACGTCAAGTTAGGGAAAAAATGTGGTGTCTTGAGTAGAATACTCTAATCATTATTAGCACTATAATTCGCTGGCTTCGTATGATTTTTCCCCTCACCGTCGGATGTAGGTTCAATTTGGGCAAGAGATTTCGAGTTGTAACATGCGAAGAAACTTGCCGGCTAGTTTTTGGTATATTAGTTGTTCCACTCAGGTGCTCGCTCGTGCCAGAAAAAATACAAGTAATACCTCAAGCTCTCCTTAGATTTTCAAATATGAGTGCAGTTTGGAAAGTTTGTAAGGTTGGTAATAATTTAAAACAAGGACTAAGAGCTTTACAATACCAGGAACAGAATTATAAAGTATAATTTAGTTGTATATAAATTTAGGCATGAAATTTATTGCTTTATACCTTCATGGTTTTTGTAGAACATAAATTTAAAAGCGTCACGAGGTGTTAAGTTATAAAAGACTTGATACACACATATATCAAACTAACTACGTATTAAATATTTACGTGAACTGCCGTCGAAGAACGCCGCTTTGTCTGGGCTAGCTAAGAAACTCTCTTAATATTTAATGGGACCATACATTTACGTATTATAAAAGGTTTCTCTGACAACGGCACACCTAAATCCATCATAATTACTATAGTAACATCAATCTAAGCTTTTATTTTTTAAAAAGATGCTAATATAGACAAAAAAACAGTTAAAAAATTTAAATATACAAAAACCGAAAGGAGAAAAAAGAAGAAAAAAAACTGGAATTTCATTTAATTAACATGTGTTTTGCGTAGGCGCATTTAAGACGTTTTTGCTACTTTGCTTAAAAATTGAAAAAAAAATGCGGTTTTTATATATTCTAACTTTACAGACAGTGTAAAAGTCAACAATTCTCTCTATTTCAAATAAACAATTCTCCATGTAATATGTATAGTATTTCCACGCTTCATCTTTTTTTTCGGCCGATATCTGTTTGTTTCACATCGGCTTCCGATAGATTTATGAGCTATTTGCCATCCCGTTCCCGGTACTTTTCGGTCAGGTATATATATAGGAACCATATTTTCCTCGGCCTTTAATCATTTGTATAATTCTTGTTTAATCTTATAAATATTCTTAAAATTTGACCATTCATATGCTGGTAAATATATAACGATATATTTGTTAGCCAGACTAGCATTCGAATCAACGTTTTTTGATCAGCTTTTGACCATGAATTTGAGCAATATAACATTAAAATTCCTAAAGTTCTAAACTAAAAGCAGAGAAAGTAAAGTCCAAAGCACACCAGTCTGTAAACCACTTAACATTTTGTTCAAGTCCATTTTGAAGTTACGTTTTTGCTAAATAAAAAACTTATTCCTGTATTCGATTTTTAAGATTGTTTCAAGTGGCGCTGAAGATCACGTAATGTAAGGGGAGGGAACTCCTACGCTATCACTGTAACGTCATGGCAATCTGGCCAGACTATTCCACTGTCGTCTGCTCTATGTTGTAAATTTGTAACTGAAATCTTTTAATTTACTGCATGACGTCTGCTGTTTCATCTTCTAAGACGTCTAGATATTTTGCAAATTAAACATGGTGAGGGTGGAAAAACAAAAAACACATATTTAAGTTTATATTTTTTATTGAAATTCGTAAGCATATTTTTTTCTTCAAAAAATGATATTAAAAATATGGCGGAGTGCTTAGAACGTTTACACGTACATGTTTCACGACAGGGATTTTAGGTATTGATAGAAGTGAAATTTAGATCAACTGATAGTTCTCAAAGTTCCGTTAATTATCTCCCTTGATGAAAATGGAAGCCATATTTCAAGAAATTAAATCGCGACAGTTTACAAAATTACACAAAAGAAGTTGAAAAAATACAACACAAATTAAATGTCTTTTTCCTGTCTTAAAGCATAGTAGGCGTATATTCCAGAAAAAGCTTTTTCTTTATAATTGTATCTATACTAAATCAATTATCCATAGCGGATAGTCAAAATGACTACCAAGGGAGATAATACCTTAACATCGAAAAAGTGCTGATATTTTCCGACAAAAAAAATTTCAGCAAAAAAGAATCCTCCATATTTCGAACGAAATAAATTAAATAGACATTAATGACCTACGAACAATTTTAAGTATGATTTATTCGGTTCAGAGATTATTTTCCTCGGCATTTAACCACGTGGGTGTAAATCATTCCTCAAACAACTCAAATACATGTATTGAAATGTGGAATGTTATATTATTCATCACGGTAAGGTGTCATTACTTAACATTACTTAAAAAATGAAAAATTGCAAATGAATATTGATTTTATTATGTACCCACTTGTTTTTTGTGTGTAAAATAATGTTTTCACCATGTTTTCGTCTTATTCAAAAATGTACTTACAAAATCAAGTCAAAAGTGAAAACCAGTAGACAGCAGTCCTTTAAACGCAAGAATACAAAACTTGCTTAAAACTTTTTTTGTAAAAACGGTTTATTTCTTCACAAAAGTACAAAAATATGCAAAAGCTTTGGAACAGAACATTTACATCTATAAATCTAGAAGGCAAACTTCAAGCAAGAATAAAGGCTGAAATAAGAAATCTATGGAAAAAAACGTAGCTTAAAATTTTCAATGAGATATCTAAAAAGTGAAGCTAAAGTTAGTAAGTAATCAAGAAATAAGTGACGTACTTTAACACATTTTAGAAGGACCAGATATTGACGTCAGAATTCTAGAAAAAGTGAAGCTCTAGTGAAAATAAAATAACAAGAGTTAACTATTTTTAAAGACCTAAATGCCGGGAAAATGTAACACTTTAGTGCATAAAACATTTTGAGGACTTAAATGTTGGGAAAATGTGACTCTTTAGTGCAAGATAGCACACCTTAAACGTTTAGAAGACCTAAATGTCGGGAAAATGTAACACTTTAGTGCATAAAAACATTTTGAGGACTTAAATGTTGGGAAAATGTGACGCTTTAGTGCAAGATAGCACACCTAAAACATTTTGAAGACCTAAATGTCGGGAAAATGTAACGCTTAAGTAAAAGATAGCACACTTAAGATTTAAATGTTCGGAAAAAGTACAATAAATAATGAAACATAAAACTGTAATATGACATGCCATTTACAACAATATAAAACAATAAAGTAAAATATATGTCCTATTTGAGATTGGCGCATACATAGAGGCTGGCAAAACCCGTAATGATCAGAGATGGTTACAAAAATCATCAAATTATGCAAAAATATTGTCATCAAAAATGTAATAATATACAAAGTAGCCCTGTAATCTGTGGCAAGTTTAATATTCGTGATAAAGCAAGCATAAACCCATTTTGGTACAAAAATGTTTTAATTAAAATGATAAAATACATGTAACTTATTATGGTAAATTGTTAAATAGACATGGCGTAAATGTGCAAACATATTTGCCGTAGTAATACATAAAAATGCATGAAAATGTATAATCTATGATATTTTTTAAATTAATACATTGGCAAACAAGAATTTCTCTAAGATATTAACATACAACAGTTGTACAGTTGTGACAATTATATTTTAACTTTGAAGATTCTTAAGTGTTGTTTACAATCTTTGGGTTAAACTGTTACTCTTTAAATTTTTGCTTTTTTAAAATATTAGATTTTTAGATTCTATCAGGAATATAAATATACATGTACATGTATATACAATACAAAACAATACAATATTTCTGATTTTATGTAAGGAAAATAGAACATGCTTTTTGTTGAAATTTGTTCTGATAATCTGACCCTGGACCTGACTCGTTTCTGACATGAATTCGTCCTACTTTTTATTTAGAATAGTCCATTCAAAGTTTAAGGGATTTCAATATCAAAATACAAAAAAAAAAGATCTACCAATAGTATATAGTCTGGCTAGACTGCAAGGATGCGCAGGCTGGACTGATTCTGAAGGCAGATCAAACTCTGTACTGGTGGCAAAGGCTGTCAGTTCCAGCCGTTTAAAGGTTAGCGAATGTTGTTCTTTTATGCTTCAAATGGGTCTCTATTATAGATGCGTTTGATTTTCGTAAAAAAATCCTTCATGTTTTTCATCAATGTTATGCAAGCGCTTTCTCAGTATTAACTTTCTTCCCCTGACACTGAGCAGGTTCTTTGCAGAGGGAAAATGTGTTAGTGATGGGGGATGAGCCGGGCAATAAACTAATGGATGAATCCATAAATAACGCGTAAGTGATTATTGTTCAATCTCATTGGTTATGAAATAAAATGCTTATTTCTATAAAAATGTGACGCGAATAATACACGGACTAGACGCACATTAATTAAACTATATACACACTGATTGCGGTTTAGAATACGACACCTGCAGTTTTTCTGATGACACGTCTTTTTTTTTCTTTGAAGATCAATTGATTTCAACAATTATATTGGGAATCTTTGAAATATTGTTTCTTTTCTATATCAATAAAAAAAGTTCACAGTTGAAAATGTCATTCTTTGACAAAAATTTACCAATTTTAAAAAAGATTGGCGTAATTGTTTTATCTAAAAAACGTCTACGGTGTTTAATCACATTTTCTTCTATGCAACGTATCCCTAAGTGTCGCAGACTACGTATTTGACCGGTTCCAGGCGGGCAGCAACGGCAGTGTTTAGTGTCATGTCGCAAGCTGGCAGGCGTGGCGGATATGACGTCATGAGAATCTCCATGGCATTGTTTTTTGCTGTAAATATACAGTAATCACAATAATTAACAATTTCTTTGCTCTGCGATTTGCTGTAAATGTATGATTACAATTTTTTTTGAGAATAAAATACAACAAAAACATTTTTTTTAATCTTTACATTTTCTTTAGAATTTAAGGTAATTGAAATATTTCTCTTTTCAAACATTTATTCAGATAAAGGTCAAGATATCTGGAGAAGGACATAGTACTTACATTGTAGCACCAACGTTTAAAGTAGTTTCATCAAAACTCAGAATTCCGGAGTGTATTCTTCCGCCATATCATGTACTACTTCCAGTCTATCCCCGTCGCTACTGGTTGTTTCGTTACTAGACCGTGACGCAGCACTTCCGGCCGATCTGCGCGCCCATTTAAATTCATCTCCATCCGGAACGATTCGGATTTCTTTGACATCATTAGAAGTATTCCTTCGTTGTAGAAAATGCTTTTTCACAAACTTGTAAAACCGGCCATCTTTCTTTTCCTGTAAGAGAAAATGATTCAAGATTATTTTAATATGCTTCAATTAATCATTTCGTAAATAAATTGATATCAAATAAATCTTCAGTTACTGCGTTTGTGAAAAGTTTAAATGCTCTTTAAAGCTTCTGACAATGCGTTTTATGCAAATAAAAAAACGTTAACCTTTTTACTTCATCGGCAGTTATGAATAACACGCTGTCTTGTAAATAAGTATATAATGATTATTTATTGAAAATTAAAGCTTTAAACTTATGCAAATAATCTTGCATTCAGAAGAGTTCAACATGACATTGTATAGAAGTATTTGTAAAAATTATAATTTAAATTGAAGGTTATTGAACTCCACTAAGATCCAAAAACCTAAAAAACATAAAATTTAAATTCATATACAGATCAGCTAAGGAACTTAAAGCAGAAAGATACTTAAAGGCATTGTGTCTCAGAAATGCTACAATTTTTATTTCCCAAAACCTTTTTTATAATTGGTATTTTGTTACAGTTCCTAAAAAAAAAACTCTTTCGCCATATGCATGTATTCATGTAGTTGAACTCTCTTTGCTCCTTTTTCGTTATTGGCAACTGATATAATTATAGTGAATAAGTATTTATATGGAAGTCGATTACATTTTGCTACCTTTACGACACATAATACACATCCAGTACTTCTTTTTTCAGCTGTTAAACATCCAACATGCTCTAAACCCATTGGGAACAAAGAATTTTTTAGACATTGCAAGCAGCATTTTCAATCCACGTAACAGTACCCACAAAATGTGTCTAAATGTGCAATGTGTTAGGCACTCAGTAGAATTATTGTCATAAATACAGCATAAACAGTCATTAATCGCAAATAGCATTTTAAATGATTACTTGAATCTTGAATCTTTTTACTTTTCTTACAATCTTAGTAATTTTTTCTCAAGTTTGATTTTCTTGATTTTATTTTATTTTTGTTTGCTCATCACGAGGCAAGTTTCTTCTAAAAGATGACGTAGCTATAAAAATCTATGTTATACAATTACAAAATCAGTTGAGAAATGTTGTTGTTTGTTTACAGTGTAATTATGGACCAGCATTGCAAACAAATATTGATTTCTGATCAATATTTGTACCGATACTATAATTTCAAACTCTATATTATCGTATTGAGTCATAACTGTGTGCAAAATAAATTCAAGAATTCGCAATATAGTCAAGTTTTAGATACCGATTCTTAAAAAAAGTTGCAACAGGAAGTGGAGTGTTCAAGTTGGCCAGATTACATAACTAGCTCAAAGTTGCTGAAGGTTCGAATCCAGGCAACCACTTTCGGAACGCCTCGTCGATCACAAAGAATAACAATTCTTTAAAAAGGCCAACGTGTTGCAATTGCATAAAAGCAGCAATCTAACGGAAACAAATATTGTCATACTAAATCTAAGTCACGGGATCTCGTTTACGTCATATGAAAAACATCTCTAGCAACTTGGCATGCATTCATTGCAGTCTTTTAAATAATTAGATAAATCCATTTTAAGATGTGCAAATAGCCTTTAAATGAACCATATTGAGTATAGAGATTCATCGTTATACGGTTTAAAAACCTATTTCGTATCATTTAAAACCAGGATTAAAGTAAAGAAAAGATAGCGATTTAAAAAGTTGTGATGATAAATCTATGAAATCTATAATCAATGCTGACACCTGCGCGTTCCTTTGTATGGGGTGGTAGTTAGTGTTTACAATATAAAAGTTTTATTATGGTTACTCATCTATGATGGGTTGGAATTTTTGCCCCCCTACATGCTACAAGTTCAATCCACCCAAAGAAACAATAGAATGGAGCAGTTAGCGCTAACAAAGAGCTTTCAAATATGCAAAGATAATTTAGTATGTTAAATGAATAAATAAAAATAAATAGATAAAAATAAATAAATAAATAAATAAATAAATAAATAAATAAATAAATAAATTAATAAATAAATAAAAATAGATAAATAAATAGAATAAAAATAAATAGAATAAATAAATAGAATAAATAATAAAATAAAATAACATAAAATAAATATATACATAAGAATAAAAAGAAAGAAATAAATGAAATAAAAAAAATAAGAAAATTAAATAAATATAAAAAAATAAAGAAATATAAAAATAGATAAATTTGAAGAGACAATTTAAAACACATTTTGTTAATGAGCAAACATCTTAGCAACATGAAAGGTTAATACAAATAAATAAACAAACACCAATCTCTTCAATTATTTATAGTGTAGGAAAACTTACCCTTTTCTGTTTCTTTGATGCTTTCTCGTCCTCCATATTTCCTTCTGTTTCTACAGATTCCTAAAAATAGAAACCAGTTAAAAGTTAGGACTATTTCATCGATATCAGTTAGAAGGTAGGACCGTTTGTATAAGTTTGAGTAGTTATTCAATGTATATAGTTCATTTTCCCCATTTTGAACATCGCCTAACCATCTAGCTATCTTTACTTCTTACGACTTTAATTTGTTCTCCAAATTCCAACTTAATATCTATTTTTAGATAAAACTTAGATACAAAACGTCATAATGAATTTCATTTTAAAATAATCAAGAAAAAAAATCTCATTACTGTTCTTGTCATTAGTACCCACAATATTATTGCAGAAGAACTAATTCAACCTATTTCCCCAGCCCATATCAGATTATTGACAGGTTATATAACAGGTAATATAACCCATAGTTATATAACAGGTTATATAATCCATAGGAGGCTTATTTTACCCGACGAGCCGCTGGGCAAGGGTTATATATCAAGGGCTACATAACTAGCAATCATTTTTACGCAGCCAAGTACGGTTTATTAAAAGAAGAATTAATTATTCTACACAAAACCCACTTCTTTTTAGATAAAATTAAAATTTTATTTGTAATGTTGCTGCAGCCGAAAAAAGTTTCATATACGAATATTTAAATTTAACGGCTATCCAATAAAAATCGGCGTTACAAACGTACAGTATTTTATTATATAAATCAAGCTCATCCACAACACATCCGATCTTTTGTTTTATAACTATACTTCACCTTTAATCGACCTTGAACAAAATTCAAGCATACATTCCACTTATATTATCAAAATCTAGATTTAAAATCCCATTGAACTTACTCCTTTAATTTCTTTATGAGCTGTAAGATACACTGAATGTTGTAAACTTTGCAATGAATGCTTCAATTTAGATTTAAAACATTTATACCCCTAACTCAGTTACTACTTTAGAATTTCAAAAAGCGATAGTCTCAAATGTAAAATTTAAACGCTTATGCTTTTCATCAAGTTATGTTAAAATTTAAAGAAAGTTTAAATGAGGGCCATGATGAAATAAATTGAAAATATTAAAAATCGATAATCAAAAATCATTTTTCAAACTCTTGTTTACTTAACCATGATTCAGTTTAACTCTAAGTTGTTTTTATATTAAAAGGAAATGACAGTAATGAGAGTTTATGATATAAACGAGTTCCCTTATTTTATGCAATGAAGTCGTTCTGGTTTGAATTTTGGGACTGTCTATTGTAATTTTAAGGGAAATCGTGATCTTAAAACCGGACAGCCGACAGTATCGTAGTTACCCGACTGAACTTATAATATACTGGCGTAAAGGGTCCAGCGTTAATGCATGCAGTTTAAAGATTTGATTTTCCTTATTTTCAAGACACAAATTTGAATATCTAAAGTCACATGAATTATAACACATGCCTGTCGAAACTAAAGAAAGTTAAAGCGATGTTGTTACCACCCCCCCCCCCCCCCCCAAAAAGCAAAAGAAAAGAAAAAAAAGCAACAACATAATAGCATCAGTCCCCCCATGAAAACAAACAAAAAAAACCCAAACAACAACAACAGTACCAACACTAAAATATTGTATTCGTTTATATGATGAAATCACTGCATCATCTATTATTGTATCATTTATCAAATGTTTATATTCGCAAGACTGAACCATTCTTTCCATAATATTCATAATAATTCTACGTGAATATAGCTTTAAATAGTACATCCGAAGATTTATCACCAATTCTGTTGAAGATTAGGAAATAATGGCCATACATCTTTAATGTTTATACAGATTTATCATTAAATATTGACACGTAAATCACGTTCTCATCGATTTTCTATTTTTAAGCCGAGATGATCCGAATGGTGTTATGAGATAGTAACAAAAATATAAAGTAAACAGATAACTGCCACGGTTAAAGGATGCATCACTACTTCGGGTATAATATTATGAATTGTATAGCATTTAAATCGGCTTTTTAAAAAGGGTTTCTTAACTTAAAAGTGTTTCATAAACAGTGACTTTTGTTGTGAGTCCGTCCGCCTGTCCGCCTACATATGTGTTAATCTGTCCGTCCGTTTGTCTGTCTGCCTGTCTGTCAGAAATAATAGAAAATGTTTATTTCTTTAAGAAATGAATACATTGATGCGTATTTTAAACTTCACTCTTTTTTTTTTTTTTGGTATTTTAAACTTTTTGTTTGTTCCTTTTGGTACTTTTATCCTGATGGAATTTAAGTCACACAGTAACTTAGAATCATGATTTATGACAACTTTCCAGCATTACTTGCAGAGATAACTCCCTGGATTTTGTACTGTAAGATCACGCACCTAGAGACAACCGCCGGTCTTTTTTTTATTTTTTGTTTGTAAGCAGTTGACTACATTTCTGAAAGGACTGAATTTACCGACTCTGACTCACTGGAGACAAAGGATTCCAGCTCGGAGACCCCTAACAACGCCACTATAGAGTCCGCACTCCTCGTGAAAAAGAAGCAATATTCATACAAGCAACACGGAATGAATTAACATAACAGTTTTAAAAATGACCTATAACTGTTTATTTTACGACACACAAACAATATTTAATTATTCTCTTAATTGCTTTGCCGCGTACAAGGTACCTTTTTATTTCAAATACATGATGCTTTGTATTCCCTACACGTTACACATATTCAATTTTATGATCGAAAATCACACAACATTTTTCATTAAAAACTATTTCAAGATAAGCTCAGATTAAGTAGACTTTAACTAAGGTGATTTTAAAGTAGTTTTAAGAAAATAAAGCTTCAACCGGTTATAAAATGCGGAAGTGTACTGACAGGCCAAGCTGACAGGGTAAATAAAGGAAACATTTCCTGCATGTGAACTAAGACCCCACTGTGTGCGTATTGATTCATCAAGATTTGTTGTCTGCAAAACGTAGACAGAGAAGCAACGGACACTGTCTTATGTTTAACAGTTTTAACTGTTTATGTTTCTTCCAGCTCTTGCAGATCATAATAAAACATTATATAGAAGTACATTATCCAGCAAAAAGTAACTTGTATTTTTTTTTTATTAAAGGCCCATTATGCTTAACGTTCTTTCAGCTCTGTTATGGGTTGCAGATTGTAATGAAAATTTATATTGAAGTACATAATCCAGCAAAAAGTAACTTGTATTTTCTTTTTATTAAAGGCCCATTATGCCTAACATTCTTACAGCTCTGTTATGGGTTGCAGATTGTAATGAAAATTTTACATAGAAGTGCATCATGCAGCAAAGAAGTAACTTGTAAATTGTTTATTAAAGGCACATTATGCCTCAGAAATGCTTCAATTCTTATTCCACAAAAGGTTTATTTTATATTTTTGCTGTACTTTTATAGTTTCCAAAAGTTTACTCATTGGCCAATTATCTGAACCATATTTTTCATCTGTTGTTTTTTGGCAGTTAGTACAGTAATAGTGATTTAGTTTCTTGTTTTAAAGTCAAAATCATACTTTGTTTGCACTTTGCTACTTTTACGAGAAATTATTTCACATTTATCTCTAAATTATTCAGGTAACAAGCGTCTAATATGCGCTAAAAACATTATTTTAATGTGTTATAAAATTCATGTTTGCCCTTTCTAAAGAAGTAAAAATCCCTTCGTTTCTGTGACATAATAATTATAATATTAATGATGTGTCTTTAAGATACATAAAAAAACAAAAACAACAAAAAATCAACAACAACAACAACAAAAACAAAAACAGAAAAAAACAACAAAGAAACCAAATGTGATAGTTACAATAAGATATAAGGATAAAATTTAAATAGTAATGGATGTGTGGTCTTTTTGTAGTGGTTCACCAGTTAACCAGCACAAATCTTTAATTAGAACACCTATACATAAGTTTCTTCTTTTGAAAAATATATAAAATACACAGTTTTATAACCTTAAATATACTAAGAACAGTTGGGTTTTCTTATAAACGTACGAAAGACATTGCATGTTGTGTTTAAGTACAGACCAACACCCGGTAGAAGACAATGATTCTGGGAGGTTCAATGGCTATTTTTGGAGTTGTTGTAAAAAGAATGCGCATGCGCGAAATGCAACATCCGTTACTATGGAAAAATCGAATTGTGAAAAGGTCTATAGCGCTAAAGAGAGCCGCACTCCATTTTTCTATTGTTACCAGAAACTCAGTGACACTGTCAGTCTTTGGTTGATACTTATTTTTTTGTTCATACGGCGTTGATCATGACAGCTTCAACTTTCGTGCAATTCCATGAAAAGCGGAGTGTCCTAAACCAGCATGAAAAACAAAACAATTTGTTGTACTAAGCTAAATGGAATTTTGGGAGGGGATTCTTGTTGAAGAAGAGCTAGGTTACATATTTTGTGTTTATGAATATATAAATTTTAATATCTTGTTGTTTTGTATTAAAGGCCACCAAAGAATTCAGACATGACATATTTGTACTTTAAATTTTGATAAAGCATCCAGGGCGGTACTGTCTTCCGCGTGATGTTTTATTTCGTCATTGTGATGTATTTTGTTGATGTTAGAACCTGTTATGGCAGCCTAGCTTTTGTTAAAGTAAGTGCTAGACTGCCTTACTTTATAAATATATAGGCTAAACGTTAAACTTAAAGTCACAAGTGTCAAACACTGGCTCAATTAAAGTTAGATTTACGACCACTTTAATGGTGACAATTATAACTTGAATGGCAGATTTGTTTTCACAATTCTAAGAACATCATCCACAGATTGTAATTTTGACGAGGTGCCTGTCTTTAGAGGTATATAAAACTGTACAATACTATCCAAACGGTTTACGTTTTGTTTAATTACTGTCTCCTTTGTAGAGCGCAGACGACAATTTCAAAAAGAACGCACGCGCTCTCTTCTGGACGAATTTCGGTATCAAGACTTTGTGGTCTGCCATTATGTCATTCCAAGGCAGATTTCAGACATTTAAATGTCCATTAAAAACAAAATGTAGAAAAAATATGTCAAATAAAATAGAAACGTAGAAGTCGTATAAGTGCAT